TCTAGATTTTATGGTCAGAACAAAAACAAACATTCTTCAAACGATAAATTACAACAAATAATATATATGAAGTTTATTTAATTATTGTTTGCTTTTGATTATGATTCTTGTATTCGTTGTCGAACTCTTGTAAGATGAACTCGTAATTGTTCAACTAATTGAGCACGTGGAATTTCAAACTAAATCATCAAATAAAGAAGAAAAAGTCAATTTGTTGTTTTTTTTTTGAAAGTTTAAAACATTATAAAAACAAAAAGTCTCACCTCTTCTCTTGTTTCAACATCACGAATTTTTACTATTCCAGCTTCTAATTCTGCACTACCAATAATTACACATAATTCAATTTGATTTTTCTCACAATATTGTAATTGATCAAGCAGTCTTGGATTACGTTTCAATGCCATTTCTGCCTAAAAAAAAAACAACACAATTTTATTTTATTTTTTGTATCATTATAATTCAAACCTTAAAATCATTTGCCCATAAATAACTACATAATTTCATACGTTCTTCAATTAAATTCTTTTGAGCTGATGCAACATAAACTTCAGTTTCAATTGTTTTTGTTTGAATTTGTGATTCAATCATTTGGTGTTCTTTTATTGCAAATATTCTTTCAACACCAATACTTGCACCAATACAAGGTACAGATCGTTTTCTTGGATCAATTTTACAAACAAGTTCATCATATCTTCCACCACCAGCTACACTTCCAACAGCAACTTGATCATCACCTAATTGTGAATCATATTGATATTTAGTAAGAACAGCTTCAAAAATAACACCAGTATAATAATCTAAACCACGAGCTAATTTTAAATCGAATATAATCTAATTTAAAAAAAAATTCATTTAAGAAAAACAAAAAGAAAATTTCAAGATTGTTTTTTTTACTTTATCCATAACTCCATATAGTGTTAAATAACGAAAAAGTACTTCAAGACCATCTAATGCTTCGCGAGCTGATTTTTGAGTCATTAATTGAACATCAGTTCGAAGTTTATCAATCAAATCAGCATTTCCTATTAAATCAAAAAAAAAAAAGATCATTCAAATTGAATTATTTATAATATATATATATTTATATTATATACCATGCATTTGAACATAATTCCAAATTTTATCGGCTACCTCTGGTGATAAACCTTTTCCATTGATCATTTCATTTCGAACAACATGCCATGGTGTCTATATAACAAACAAAAATTTTTTTAATTTAAAATAATAAATAAGTATATATATATATATATATATATATATATTGTATACTTTATCAAGTTTATCAACAGATGAACTTATTGGACGAAAGTGTGAATCTGGAACACCACATACAGCAAATATTGCATCGAGTAATTTGCGGTGATTAACCTGTAAATAATAAAAATTATTGTAAAATAATATTTAAATATTCTTATATTTTCTTTCACATGATTAAATTGAAAGATCAAAAGTTCAATAGAAATACAACTGTTGGCAATTGCCAACTACAAGAGTCAGTAGTGCAAAAGTCATGTTATCCCAACAGTATGTTCTATGTTAAACATGTATAAGTCGAAGACAATCAAACGGAAGAATAAATTATCTAAAATCTTCTGAGATGAGAATTTGAACTATAGAAATTTCATTCAATTTTAAGAAAATTATTATTTTTCACAATAGATTTTATGATTAATATTAATCTTTTGATCGTTAACTTTAGAAGAAAAAAACTAAGAAAATACTTACATAGATTTTATATTGTCCTAAATCAAGTTTATCAAGAATTTCGACAACAATTTTAATACATTCTGCATCAGGTACCATTAGATCAAAATCACCAGCTATATCAAAATCACATTGATAAAATTCTCTATAACGACCACGTGTCATTTTTGGATTATCACGTCGATAAACTTTTCCTATATGATATCGTTTCATAGTTGCAATTCGATTTTCAGCTATATAACGTGCAAATGGTACAGTTAAATCATAACGTAAAGCTAATTGTTTTGCACCACCTTGATCTTTTAATTCATAAATAAGTTTCGAATCTTCACCATATTTTTCCGTAAGAAGTGACTAAAAATAGAAATCTTCTCTCTTTCTTCAAAGAAAAAGAAAAAAACACATTATTTCATACTGTAAGTTCAATAACCGGTGTATCGATTGTTTCGGCACCGTGTTGTTTAAAACAATCAGTAATTATTTGAAATACTTGTTCACGAATTTTCATCTGATCTGGATGATAATCACGTGTACCCTAAATAAAAATTTTCTTTTTTTTCTTTAAATTCTTTTATTAACAATAGAAAACTGACTTTAGGAGTTTTAAGAAGGTTTACACCACCAGCAGTTTGTTCTTCACTATCAACTGCTTGACGATTACATAGTTCTTTTTTTAAACTTGTTAATTTATTAATAGCTTCCGTAATCTATTCAAATCGTTTTTTTTTAAGATATATATATTTAATTAATAATTAAATAACAAACCTGTTCAGATGCAGCTTTTTCAGCTTTGAGTCTTCGCACAAAACCACCTTGTATTTTGATTAAATCATTTAGATCATTGTCAGTTATTAATAGACCGGTTGAAATTGCTGATTCTAAATTCGTTGTAGTATTCGAGTTTGTTGCCATGTCTTTTAATATAGCTATATAGTGTGCAAATGAATATATATATCTAAAAGAGTAATTGCTAAGTATATGATGAAAGAGAATAAATATATCTGATGCAATCAAAAGAAAAAACAACAAATATTTGATCATTTCTCATAACGCAAAACAAAAGCAAATTTTCGTAAAAAAATAATATTTATGGCTAATTCGAAAGAAAAAAAGAATGGAAAATAAATTTTTAGGATTTTATTGTCTATTTTGGAATGAGATCTCTATTTAATGTGAATGATTGTTAATAACCAATTCATTGCAATCTTCAAGTGATGCGTGTACAGATGGTGATTATAAGAACGAACGAAAATGTGCGTCACCGAATATCGATTGATAGCAAAGAAAAGTTATAAAAGTTTTAGGTTATGCTTGATTGAGTTATTGATCATATTTTTTTTTCTTGTCAATATTTATTCAATATATATATATATATATATATATATATGTTATGGGCAAAATTGAAATGCAGTCAAATTTGAAATTTGCCCAGTCAAAATTAAAATTTCAATTTTGACTAGGCAAAATTGAAATTTTAATTTCGTCTGATATATTCTCAGTCAAAATTGAAATTTTAATTTTGACTAGGCAAAATTAAAATGTTTTCTTTTGTAACGAAAAGAAGATTAAAAAGAGTAACAAATAAAATATAAGGTGCACCAAGGGCAAAAGGTGAGCAAAAAAAAGTTTTTTCGTTTTTCACATGTTTTGATAGAGCTTGTCGAGCTGATTCCGAATATGGTATTTATTTTGCATTCTGATTGAGCTTTGGTGCAAAAATGGCAATTCAGGGGTCGAATTTAGCCTGATCATGAATGATTTAGTGAATACTGCATGTCTTAGCCGGAGAACAAAATTTCTTAAAACCCATATGTACTTTTTTTCTTGTCGAACGACGATTCGATTGGTGCATAAATATCTAAAAAATTTTTTCAAACAAAAGACTAGATAGGTTTACAACAGATGAGTGTCTATGAGTCACTTTTTCATCCTAATTGATCTCATGGAAAATTTTGGCTATCTCAGAATTCGTTTGAGGCTACATTTTGATACTCAGTTTGAGATGCTGAATCTGAATAAAGCAGTTTTCAAAGCCTATATTTAGTGGAAAAGGGCGAAATTTCACGTTTTCTTTCAAAACAATGATTTTTTCCCTTTTCAATTTTTTATAGTATTTTCAAGGTTTCAGACCCAAAACTTGATCAAAACACAATAAAATATACATATTCGGAATCAGCTTAACAAGCTCTATCAAAATATGTGAAGGACAAAAAAACGTTTTTTTTGCTTACCTTTTGCCGTTGGTGCACCTTATATTTTATTTGTTACTCTTTTTAATCTTCTTTTCGTTACAAAAGAAAACATTTTAATTTTGCCTAGTCAAAATTATAATTCCAATTTTGACTGGGCAAATTTCAAATTTGGCTGCATTTCAATTTTGCCCATAACATATATATGTGTATTTATAGACTATTTTATTCTTCCTTTCCGTGGTTAGTTATATAGACACTCTAATCGTCCTTGTCTTCATACCTTACACGTCGTGAATTGTTTTTCTTTCTGAATGTGTCTCATCAATCCTGTTTTAATTGAGACATTTATTGTATCAATAAACTATAGAGTTTTATTCAGTGTTAAAATCAGAACGAATAACATTCTCTGCTGATGATGATAAATTTAATCAGTTTACAAATAATGATCAATTAAATTCTTTTCTTGATGATTCTCTCGTTTATTATTCAACAAATTTTATAAAAACTGATCAACAAGAATTAACATCTATTAAACATTCAAATTCCTTAGACCAACTTTCATCTATAACAATGTCTAGTCAACAACAACAACAACAAGAAATTGAACATGTACCATCAACATCAGCACCACCATCTTTAATCTCTGAAGAAAATCTAATTCTTAATGAAAATAATATACATCAATTTGATACATTAACATTACAACAATTAGCAATTGGTACACATCAAAATTTATCAAATATAAATGAAGATAATATTAAACCAAGTCCATCTCATTCAACATCATTGATTGATATACAAAAAGAAGTTGATCGTGTAAGACAAATAAAATACAATCGAACATATTCATCACCAACATCATCATTTTGTTCATGTTTAACAATAAATCCATTTAATGGGACAAATAATAATATTGATTTATCATCAATAACACAATCAGTGCATTCGTTTTTATTATTTTTCGAAAATTAATAAAATTGAGTACAAAACAAGAATTAATGTATGATATAAATTGTGACATTCAGATAGAACAAGTGAAACACAATACTTTTCATATAATATCTTGATTCTCAATTGATCTTCTTATTCGTGTTCTTGATGATTAACAAAAAACTAATGGAGATATTTGAGAAATATTGTTAAGACAATATTTATTCATATACGACAATTTGTTAATGTACTATGAATAACTATAATAAAACAATACAAAAAAGAAATAACAGAAATATCTGAATCATGTAGAGAAAGATACAAATGAAAAATTACAAAAGACTGAAAAAACTGCTTATGATTTACATGCTTAGACTACTAATAGAGTTCAATTGACAATTCGATTATGAATATCATCTTCTATGGATGATAATCTTCATCATCGGATAAGTCAGATAAATTTTTCTTCTTCGACGATAATATCTTCTTAACAATACGTTTGGCTGATCTTTCATCAGGTTCTTCTTCACTCAATGAAGTAATATTAATTTTGTGTACATTTACCTAAATGAACAAACAAAAGTTTTCATCTCGAAGCTTTTAGAACAACACTCAATAGAAAAATCTTCTATTCACTTTTTCATATAACTAAAATATAATGATAGCAATGACTTACTTTAGTTGAATATGCATGTTTTTTTCTTTTGTACCTTTTTAATGATGATTCAAATTGTTTGAGTAAATCTGGACAATGTAAATTGTTCTTGTCCTCCCACTAAATGAAAAACAAAACAACATTCAACATTTTTCTCACCGTCAAGATTAAACAAAAGATGTGTGAAAGACTTTTCAATCGCACAGATTTATTTACAAACAACAGTTGAATAAATATATTAAAGAAAACCGATGTAATTAAATGAAGAAATAAAGATTATTTTTGTAATTTTCAATTATTCACTTCTCAAATAAAATAACTTTGTGTTTTTCATTTTCTTTTAAATTTAAAATTTATTCTTAATTCAATTAATGTTGAAATAGAAAATAAAGAAAAAAAAACATCCAAAACTGAACTTACAGTATTTTGATCATGATCAAAACCTTTCCATTTGAGTAAATATTCAACATGACCATTTCTAATTCGTCGATCAAGAATTTTTTCTACTACGAACATTTGTTCCCAAAGATTCACTTGAGTATTTGAATTAGTTAATCGTTTTTGAAACATAATTTGATATTTTTTACTAATATCAAAACCAAGAAAAGTTCGTTTAAGATTAACTGCAGCTACAAGTGTTGTACCAGATCCAGCAAATGGATCTAACACAAGATCACCTTAAAATAGTTTAACATGAATTTAAAAGAAAAGACTCAATCAGACTAAATATTCATTTGAAAAATTTAATTAAAGAAGAAAAAAAAATACCTAATTGCTTTTCAATAGTTTTTTTTTTAGTATGATCATTCATTCTAGGTTTACCTTGATCAGTTGTTGCCAAAATACAAATTTCAGCTAATAATTGTGGAAATGGTGCTGGATGTAAATTTTTTCGATCAGGTGCTATTCTCCATATTGAACTTTGAAAACATTCTGGTAATTTATTACGATAAAATTTTGGTGATAATGATGAACAATTAATTGAAGATTTTGTTAACCAAAAAATTTTTTCAAGATTTGGACGAAAATATTCAGAATTTTGATTAACTGTAGAACCACGATCCCAAATAATTGTTTGATATAATTTTAAATTACTTCGAAGAATAAAATTTTCAGGAGGATAATCACGTTTACAATAACGACGATCTTTATGATTGTAAAAAAGAGAACCATTTGGTGTTAATACACGATTTATTTCATTTAATAAATTACATTGCCATTGTTGATATTCATCTTCATTCATATTATCATCATATGTATCATAAATAATTTGTCCTTTAAATTGACGACCTTCACGAAGACCAAGTTTATTGTATGGTGGCGAAGTAACAATACATTGAACTGAATTATTCGGTAACAATTGTAATCCTTTTAGACAATCGATGATCAAATATTTATTGATAAATGACTAAATGATAGAAAAAAGTGTAAAATTTGATTTAAATTAAATTAGAATTTCTTTTTTGATTTTTTAAAATGCTACATATATTACGAGAGAGAGTATAATTTCAATCTTTGAGAGTTACATTTCAGTCTTAGTACAATGCATTGAAGATCTTATATATACAGGCACTTATATAACTCCACACACATTTTTTAAGGGTTTTTACTGCATCCTAACATACTCTTTCAAATAAAAAAAAAATTTAATGCATCACACAGACCTGGATTGAGAAATTTGGTTTGCCAAATGAGCTATTTTTGACCCTTGTTTGGTCAGTAACTCACTCAAACATCATGGCACAGGGCTGAAAATTTTACCATAACTTTTCCACAACAGTCCTAACATATCCTGAAAATTTCATGCCATTTGCACGTACTTGGGCTTAGATCGATTTTTGAGGGGGAGGGGGGAGGCCTTAACAATTTCATATCTCGAAATGAAAACATTGATTTTCGCTGTGATGTTTGTGGGTAAAATTTAAACAAAACATTTTTTTTGTAATATTTTACCATTTGAAAATCTCTGAATCAGCTTATTACCTTAAGTTTTTTCGTTTTATCATCGTGGATGTTCGATGTCCATGATTGCTGGTGATTAATTGAAGTATGAGTTGTTTTCGGTACATTTGTTGTTGATGAAATCTAATGAAAATTAATATTAATGAGAAATATTTCACGAGAGTTAAGTCATTTGTTGACTTTCCAACTTCAAAAGCAGAAATCTAAAAGACTTACTGTGTATATTTAAATTCTTTCTTTCTATTTTTGGCCTATCTTTCTTTACGAGAATGATTTCCACTTGGCTGGAAAAATGGTGAATCATAAATAAACTTGATGTTTGCCATCTGCATTTCTCTTTTTCTCGCATAAATATCCTTTGACATGTATGTCACTTCACTCTTCTCATATGTATTCTTGTTCTATTCAGTTGCATTTCTTTTCTTTCTCCATGATTGAAATCATTGTATAGACAATTTCGTTGTTTATATTGCTCATTATCGATGGAATGTATGTATGACTTATTTTTTGTGTTTTCTTGAACTCAATTATCGATTTCTTTCTGTCAGTCATGATTAGTGAAATGTCAGAAAATCGTGTTGATTTAAATCAGCTTTTTCATGACTAGATTAGTATTATAAACTAATTAGATTCATATCAAAAAATAAAAATTAAAGTAAATCATTATCTTTTAGGATAAAATTGTAAACAATTCTTTTCATTTTCAGATGAAAAAATGTCGACAAAGAGATATCTTGAATGTAATAGACAAACCTCATTTTTAATTAGAATTCGAAAAATATATTGACATTGATTATTTATTATTGGTTCTTCTTGAATGTTTTCATCCTTGGTCAAATCGATAAGTTCAATATTTTTGTTCGATGTTATAGTACAATGCATTGATGTGATTTATTTTTATTCACTAAATTTTTCGACTGCAAATGAAAATAATATTGATTTTAATCAAGCTAAAATCAAAAAATTTATACAGTGAAATATCTTTATATTTTGCTAAAGATTGACTTACTTGAATAATCACACAGATCACTTTGAAAAATTGATTTTGATTATAAATTTAAACTTTTACTATCGAGTGAAGCTTGAACAACTGGAATACACAATGTATAAACAATGTAGAATTGATATATAAGACAACGATTATTCTACTTTCACTAATATGAGAAGATAGATAAAAAGAAGGAGAGGAAGAATTTTTTTTTTAAAGCATGTCACGTATTCAAACTGATGTGTATAAGGTATGTAATAGTGTTACTATTAAATAAAGCATCATGCATATTTCTCTCATTTACAAATGAAACTTAATAATTAGTATCAATTCCATTAAGAAAATTGCTCAAAATCGTGTAACAATTGAATTTTGTCTATGTAAAATTATGGTTATTAATCGATAATACGTCTGAACTCGTTCTCTCTTAAGTTTCGTCTCTTCTGTAATTCTTTCATTTTCTTGTGTATTTCTTATCATGTATATGATACATTCTCTTGTATGTTTCTCGTCTCTATCCACTTCTGTTTCTCATATATGTGATAATGAAAAGAATTGAAAGACGAGAAATTATTTTTATGAAAGTTAAAATCATAAAATTTTTTCAATTCAACAAATGCAGATACTAAAAATTGGAACAATATATTTTAATTCTCGATAATTATAATGATGATGAAATGTACTACTATATTAAAAAGAAATCTCAATCTTGTCTTTCATTTGAATAATACAATGGTGAAGCAATCAAAATGATCAATGAAAAATTTGTTCTCTTTATTTTTTTTTTAACAAGAATGAATGAAATGTGATTATTTGTTTATAAAATATACACAGATCTCATTTAGTATTGGAAAATCGCGTACAGCTATTTATATTCGATGATAAGAATAAACAAAAAAAAACGATTTTCTTAATGCTGGATAAGCGTTCTTTTTTTTCACATTGCTTTGTTGTTTATTAAAGTTGCGTTTCAAATTAGAAGATACTTTTCGATATTGATCTTCTATTGTTTCACACTCATGTCCACACAAACAAACCCTAGACTCACATTCACACCCCTTCAATGATGAATAAAAACAAAAAAAAACATTTTGATCTTTTTTTTTTGCTTTTTAGTGTTATGAATAAATTAATATTTGGTTTAAAAAAAAATGTATGGTGATATTAAAATTGAATGTTTAGAATCATTAATTGCTAATATAACTGAATTTGATTCGGCATATTTAGAATTACGTGCAGCAGGAATATTAGATATTCTTATTCACAAGTAAATAATTTTTTTTTTTTT